GTTTGTTTAGCGGTTGTGTGTTGTGTTAGTGTGAGTGTAGCGGTTGTGTGTTGTGTTTGTTTGCGGTTGTGTGTTTTGTGTGGGTGTAGTGTTTGAGTGTAGCGTTGTAGTGTTGTGTTTGTTTAGCGGTTGTAGTGTTTTGTGTGCTGTCGTGGGGGTGTAGTGTTGTGTTTGTTTAGCGGTTGTAGTGTTTTGTGTAGCGGCTGTAGTGTTGATGTGGGTTGTGTGTTTTGTGCGCTGTGTGTTGAGTGTTGTAGTGTTGTGTTTGTTTAGCGGTTGTAGTGTTTTGTGTAGCGGCTGTAGTGTTGAGTGTAGCGGTTGTAGTGTTTTGTGTAGCGGCTGTAGTGTTATGTAGCGGTTGTAGTGTTGTGTTTGTTTAGCGGTTGTAGTGTTTTTGTTTATTGAGTTTAATCTTACGAGTGTTGTCGTCCACTGTAGTGTCTGGCCTCAAGGTGTGACCAGAAACATTAGGGGCGTAGCTAGAGACACAAAAGAGGCGTGGCTAGACACAAAAGAGGCGTGGCTAGACATAAAATAGGCGTGGCTAGACATAAAAGAGGCTTGGCTAGACATAAGAGGTGTGGCTAGAGACAAAAAAGAGGCGTGGCTAGAGAGGAAAGAGGCGTGGCTAAGGGCATAAGAGGCGTGGCTAAAAATATAAGAGGCGTGGCTCGTCGTATCCTTGTTGCTGTGATTCAGATGATAGTTGAATCCGTCTTGTTCCTAATAGTCTCCCTTAATGACGTCTTTGTTAGTCTCCCTTAAATAACTTTTGTTAGTCTTCGTTAATAACGTTTTTGTTAGTTTCTCTTATTAATTTTTTTAGTCTCCCCTAATAACGCTTTTGTTAGTCTCCCTTAATAAAGCTGTTGGTAGTCTCCCTTAATGATGCATTTGCTAATCTCCTTAATATTTTTATCTCCCTTAATGACGTCTTTGTTAGTCTCCCTTAATAACGCTTTGTTATTTCCTTAATGACGTCTTAGTTTGCCTCCCTTAATGACCTCTTTGTTAGTCTCCTATATCTTTGTTAGTCTCCCTTAATGGCATCTTTGTTAGTCTCCCTTAATGGCATCTTTGTTAGTCTCCCTTAATAAAGCTTTTGTTAGTCTCCCTTAACTTTTTTGTTAGTCTCCCTTAATGACGCTTTTGTTAACCTCCCTTAATAAAGCTTTTGTTAGTCTCCCTATTAAACCGCTTCCCTTTATTCCTATCTCCCTTATTGGTGTTCCTGGTGTTGTATTTCTTGTATATATTTCCTTTATTTGTTTTGCCTGTGTTGTTCTTCCTCCTCGACTGATGTTCTCATTACGTTTGTAGTTTCAGGGGTGTTTATGGTGTTGTTCTTGTTGTTGGTTTTGGTCTTGTTGTTGTTCTTCGTGTTGTTGTTGTTGTTAGTCTTCATCTTGTTCTTTTTGCTCGTTGTTATTGTTTTTGTTGTTGTCCTTGTTCTTCATGTTGTTGTTGTTCTATTTTTCTTCCTCTTGTTCTTTTCCTTATTGTTGTTGTTGTTGTTCTTCTTCTTCTTCTTCTGGCCTTGCTGCGTTTCCTGTTACTCACCTCATTGTCCTTGTTACGTTTACGGTCCTCGCGTCCATGTTATTGTTACGTTTACCGTCCTCACGTTCATGTTCTTGTTGTTTATGTCCTCGTTCATGTTTTTTGCGTTTACTGTCCCTCACGTTCATGTTCTTGTTACGTTTACTGTCCTCACGTTCATGTCCTTGTTGCGTTTCTGTCCACGTTCATGTTCTTGTTACGTTTACGGTCACTCGTTCATGTTCTTGTTACGTTTACGGTCACTCTCGTCCATGTCCTTGTTACGTTTACGGTCACTCACGTTCATGTTCTTGTTACGTTTACTGTCACACATCCTTATTACGTTCGTTGTCTCCCGCAATCATCCTTAAAGCTGTTGTCTGTCCTCTTGTTGTTGTTGTTGACGCTCGTAATGTTTATAGTCGCCTCGATGGTATTATATCCTTTCTCTCTCTCTCTCCTCTCTCTCTCTCTCTCTCTCTTCTCTCTCTCTCTCTCTCTCTCTCTCTCTCTCTCTCCGCTGCTTGTTATTCCTTGTCTGTGAGCTTGTAATTGTGGGTAGCTGCTGTGTTTATTGACTGTGTTGAGAGGTAAAAGGGTGTGGCTACAGAGATAACATAGGAGGAACAAGACTAGAGAGATAACACAGGAAGGGACGAGACTAGAGAGATAACACAGGAGGGAGGAGGCTAGAGAGATAACATAGGAGGGAGGAGACTAGAGAGATAACATAGGAAGGAGGGAGACTAGAGAGATAACATAGGAGGAGGAGACTAGAGAGATAACATAGGAGGGAGGAGGCTAGAGAGATAACATAGGAAGGACGAGGCTAGAGAGATAACACAGAGGGAGGAGGCTAGAGATAACACAGGAGGAGGAGACTAGAGAGATAACATAGGAAGGAGGAGACTAGAGAGATAACATAGGAAGGAGGAGACTAGAGAGATAAATACAGGAGGGAGGAGGCTAGAGAGATAAATAGGGAGGGAGGAGACTAGAGAGATAACACAGGAGGAGGAGGCTAGAGATAACATAGGAGGGAGGAGATTAGAGAGATAACATAGAAGGAGGAGACTAGAGAGATAACATAGGAGGAGGGAGGCTAGAGATAACATAGGAGGAGGAGACTAGAGAGATAACATAGGAGGAGGAGGCTAGAGAGATAACACATAGAGGGAGGAGACTAGAGAGATAACATAGGAAGGAGGAGACTAGAGAGATAATAGGAAGGAGGAGACTAGAGAGATAACATAGGAGGGAGGAGACTAGAGAGATAACATAGGAAGGAGGAGACTAGAGAGATAAATATAGGAGGGAGGAGGCTAGAGAGATAACATAGGAAGGAGGAGACAGAGAGATAACACAGGAGGGAGGAGGCTAGAGAGATAACATAGGAAGGAGACTAGAGAGATAACACAGGAGGGAGGGAGGCTAGAGAGATAACATAGGAGGGAGGAGACTAGAGAGATAACATAGGAAGGAGGAGTAGAGAGAGATAACATAGGAGGGAGGAGACTAGAGATAACATAGGGAAGGAGGAGACTAGAGAGATAACATAGGAGGGAGGAGGCTAGAGAGATAACATAGGAAGGAGGAGACTAGAGAGATAACACAGGAGGGAGGAGGCTAGAGAGATAACATAGAGGGAGGAGACTAGAGATAAATAGGGAAGGAGGAGACTAGAGATAACATAGGAGGGAGGAGACTAGAGAGATAACACAGGAAGGAGGAGACTTAGAGAGATAACATAGGAGGGAGGAGACTAAGAGATAACATAGGAAGGAGGAGACTAGAGAGATAACATAGGAGGGAGGAGACTAGAGAGATAACATAGGAGGGAGGAGGCTAGAGAGATAACATAGGAAGGACGAGGCTAGAGAGATAACACAGAGGGAGGAGGCTAGAGAGATAACACAGGAGGGAGGAGACTAGAGAGAACATAGGAAGGAGGAGACTAGAGAGATAACATAGGAAGGAGGAGACTAGAGAGAAATACAGGGAGGGAGGAGGCTAGAGAGAGATAACATAGGAGGGAGGAGACTAGAGATAACACAGGAGGGAGGAGGCTAGAGAGATAACATAGGAAGGACGAGACTACAGAGATAACACAGGAGGGAGGAGACTAGAGATAAACACAGGAAGGACGAGACTAGAGAGATAACACAGGAGGGAGGAGGCTAGAGAGATAACACAGGAGGGAGGAGACTAGAGAGATAACATAGGAGGGAGGAGACTAGAGAGATAACACAGGAGGGAGGAGACTAGAGAGATAGCAGGGAAGGACGAGACTAGAGAGATAACATAGAAGGACGAGACTAGAGAGATAAATACAGAGGAGGAGGCTAGAGAGATAACATAGGAAGGACGAGACTAGAGAGATAACACAGGAGGAAGAGGTGGAGACAGAGGGACTACCTTGTGAATAAAACCTCAAAGGGAATGTGTGTAGACAATATATATTGGCTGTGACTGATGTAGGCTCTATTAAGGCGCCGCCAACGGGTTAGGCACGGGAGAGAGCCTGGGGTGTTGGGAAGAGTACCTGGGGAGCTGAGGAGAGAAACTGGGGAGATAACCTGGGGAGCTGGGGAGATAAACATGTGAGCTGGGGGTAGATCTGGGACGATGGGGAGTGGGAGATTTGGGGCGCTGGGAAGATTTGGGGCGCTGGGGGAAGATTTGGTCGCTGGGGGAAAATATGATGGGCTGGGACAAGATGTGATGCTTTGGAACAAGGTAGAACAAGATCTAGGGGCTATGGTATAAAAGATGAGAAATTTGGGGCAAGACCTGGGGTGACTGAACAAATACAAGTACTGTGGAACAAAGCCAGAGAACAGTGTGTCCCTTGAAAAGAAAAATTATGGCAGAAGGGTGAGAAATAGGAGTGTGGAACGAAATCGAAAGATAAGCACAAATCTATGGACAGAGGAACATGAATCGAGTCCGTGGAACGAAACACGAGGGCAGTGAGAACGGGACTGGAGCGATGGGGTAAAAAAAAATGAGGGTAGTGAAAACAAAAAAGGATTTATGAAACTAAGTATTGGGATAATGGGACAATGGAACAAATATTGACACGATGGGACAAGCATTGGGACAGTGGGACAAGAGATAAGTTCGATGGAGAGAGAAATTTAGAGACAGAGCCCCTCTAGCTGGGGAGGAGAAGGGGGCGGAGTCACTGTAGCTGAAGGCGGAGCTTCTGTGCTTGGGGGCGGAGTTTCTTCTTTGCTTGGAGGCGAAGGTTTGGTGCTTTGGGGGCGGAGATTCTGTAGCTGGGGGCGGAGATTCTGTGGTGGGGGCGGAGCTTTTTGCTTTGGGATGGAGGTGCGTTGCTTGATTACGGGGACGGTGCTTGGGGGCGGAGGATGGTGCTCGGGGGCGGAGATACGGTGCTAGGGGGCGGATATTCTTTGCTTGAGGAAGATGCTTCTTCTGTGCTTTAGGAGAGGATGCTCCTAGTTGTGGGCGGAGATACTGTCATGGTGGACGGAGATTATGTGGTTGTGGGCGGTGATGCTGTAATGGTGGGCGGAGACTGTGATTGTGGTCGGAGATTCTGTGGTTGTGGTCGGAGATTCTGTGGTTGTGGGCGGAGATTCTGTGGTTGTGGGCGGAGATTCTGTGGTTGTGGGCGGAGTTCTGTGTGTTGTGGGCGGAGATTCTGTGGTTGTGGGCAGAGATTCTGTGGTTGTGGGCAGGAGATTCTGTGGTTGTGAGCAGAGATTATGTGGTTGTGAGCGGAGATTCTATGGTTGTGGTGGAGATTCTATGGTTGTGGGCGGAATTCTGTGGTTGTGGGCGGAGATATTGTTGGTTGTGGGTGACGACAGGACTAGATGTTTAGTAGCAGGGGGTGGAGGTGTGGGCGGCAGGGGTGGAAGTTTGGGCGGTAGGATTGGAGGTGGGGCGGGATTGGAAGTGTTGGGGGAGAGTGTTGGAGGTGTGGGCGGCCAAAGGGGAGGTGGAGGCGGGCAAAGGGGAGGTGGGGCGGGCAAAGGGAGGTGGGGGGGGCCAAGGAGGTGGGGGGTGGCCAAGGAGGTGGGGCGGGGAAAAGGGGAGGTGGGGGCAGCAGGAGTGGAGGTGTGGGTAGGACTGGAGGTGTGGGTGGCAGGACTGGAGGTGTGGGTGGCAGGACTGGAGGTGTGGGTGGGGACTGAAGGTATGGTGTGGGAGGTGGAGGTGTGGGTGGCATTACTGGACGTGTGGGTGGCAGGACTGGAGGTGGGTGGCAGGATTGAAGGGTGGTGGGTGGCAGGACTGGAGGTGGGACTTGAGTGGAGGTTGGGACGGCAGGACTGGAGGTGTGGCAGGACTGGAGGTGTGGGTGGCAGGACTGGAGGTGTGGGTGGCAGGACTGGAGGTGTGGGTGGCAGGACTGGAGTGTGGGTGGCAGGACTGGAGGTGTAGTGGCAGGACTGGAGGTGTGGGTGGCAGGACTGAAGGTGTGGGTGGCAGGACTGGAGGTGTGGGTGGCAGGACTGGAGGTGTGGGTGGCAGGACTGGAGGTGTGGGTGGCAGGACTGAAGGTGTGGGTGGCAGGACTGGAGGTGTAGGTGGCAGGACTGGAGGTGTGGTGCAGGACTGGAGGTGTGGGTGGCAGGACTGGAGGTGTGGGTGGGACTGGAGGTGTAGGTAGCAGGACTGGAGGTGTGGGTGTGGCAGGACTGGAGGTGGGACTTGAGTGGGTTTGGGACAGCAGGACTGAAGGGTGGCAGGACTGGAGGTGTGGGTGGCAGGACTGGAGGTAGGACTTGAGTGGAGGTTGGGACGGCAGGACTGAAGGCTGGCAGGTTACAGTGACTGGAGGTGGGGGTGGCAGGACTGAAAGTGGGGGTGGCAGGAGTGGAGGTGGGTAGGCTACAGCGCCCCTCGCAGCATCCGTGCCGGGCTGGGAGAAAAGTGTGTATTATCAGATTTATGTGGTGTGTGCGTGGTTGCCATAGCGACGGCGCGGACCGTGGTTCTCGCGCGGTGATTGGTGGTGTCGGGGGTCGGGGGCGTGGCCACGGGTCGGCGGGTGGGGCGGCGTGGTACCGCCCCGCTGGGCCTCGTAGTCGCGTGCTGGCCTCGCCGCTGTGGACTGTGCCCTCGTGTGCGTGGACTGTGCTTCATACCAGCCTCTATCAGCCGCCGCCGCCGCCGCGCCGCCCTGCACACCTGCCACCAATATTACCACCACCACCATCACCACCTCCACCACACCCCACACGCACAGGCGGCTGTGTGAGCACCAGACCTCCGTCAGTAGTGTAGTAGCAGCCAGCCGGCACCGCCTGCACTTCCCAAGTGTCCCAGGGTCATGGCTCTCATCACAGAGGTCCGCCCCCACCTGTACCACTACCCCGCCCTCAGCCAGGTAACCCTACACTTGTTGCACTACCACCTTGCATGACCCCGCCGTCGCCGCCGCCGTCCAGGCACGGAGCCAGCAGAAGCGGCCCGCACCGTCCTGGCCGCCACCCAGGAACCTGTGGCTCCGGCAGAGCAACATGTGGACTCCGCCCGCTGCTGCTGCTGCTGCCGTCGCCCGCCATCAGCCGCGCCGCTGCTGCCGACTTCACAATGGCTCCCTCCTCATCACACTACTCCCCACCTTGCTGTCAAATACAGCGTCGTTACCTACAGTGTGAACAGCCCTTGGGAGGAGACTTGCATTCTTTATCGTGCACGAGAGGTTGGTGGCAGCGCGGCGCAGAGTTTGGCGCGAATTAATTATGCATCTAGAAGCCATGTGACTTGCGTGTCCCGGATGTGTGTCGCCACGCTTCCCCCACAACTCACACCAACCACGATAATCGTTACCGTGTAAAGTAGTGTATGCTTCTGGCAGGTTGTGGGGCCGTCTTGAGCAGCTACTGGCCATGGGGGCCTGACGCTCTGGACAGTACCTCGAAGGTATCATAAGTTACGCCCAGTGCTACTCTCCCTTCATCCTCTCGGTGTCGTCGTGACGCACTGTGTCACTCCCTCACCAACACAGTGTTCCACTGTAGAAAATAAAAAGAATAGGATTTCAGCGTGGCAGAGTAAAGTGGAGGCCCATTATGTGTGTCATAAATAACGATCCATTACAATCAGGGAGAGTCATGCAAGGGGGAGTGGCAACACGGCCACAAAGACGCCACTTATTATCACCAACACTTTAATGTTAAATGGTCGTAAGGGAGCAGTTACTTTGGTCTGGAAGTCAACATCAAAACTTGGCGACGCGGAAGTTTGTTACTCCACCAAAGTATCAAGTCCGGATAACCTGTAACGCACCTGTTTGTTCGGTCCTCCATGGCGTACACCTGCACTGGGATCCTGACAATTACCATCATGATTCCGGGAATTCGGTGTAAACGTTGTTACTCTGAAAAAAATGTCAGGAAAATCTTTCACGATGATGGATGGCGGACGTGAAGGAGATGGGAGCAAGTTATCCCTGTCGTGTGTGTGTGTGTGTGTGTGTGTGTGTATATATGTGTGTGTATATGTGTGTGTGTGTGTGTGTGTGTGTGTGTGTGTGTGTGTGTGTGTAGTGTTGTTAGCCGTGAAACTGCGCAAGAATTCCACACACTTATATCTGTAGCTCAGTGTGAGAGAATTATAGAGTATTTATTGAGGAGTGAAATTGATAATCGGAAAATGTTAAGGTGTACAAGTTAGTAAGATAGTGGAGCAGTCGGCGGGTTGGAGCGCGACCGACAGCCACAGGTGTGCTTTTAACTGGAAATTCACAGGGGAAAAATTAATGATTCTCATTTAATCGCTTTGTCAGAAGTGGAATATGAAACAAGGAAATCCAATAATCGGTCCGCCAGTAGTTAAACAAGTCTGTGCAAGAAGGCCAATAGATACGGTATGTGGCGAGTCTGTCCGTGTCAATAAAATACGCGAGTGAGCGCTGCTACAACCTGCCTCACCAGGTGTCGTGTCAACACCCTCGCATGGTAACACGAACCTATCATTCTAGAGGGAGGGAGGACACACACATCCTGAAGAGCTATTATTAAATCTAGGAAAATAAAAGCTGGTGACTAGAATCCACCAAGGTTTTAAAAATAGCCGGCGAGGCTCAGTTTGACGGAAGGCAGTCGATGTTAGCAGGAATGGAGTAGCGGCCGAATGCCGCGGTATAAACAAAGATGACGTCAGCGTTTTTACCCGCCGGTAGGTGTGTAGCTGAGACTAGCGGGTACTTCCCTTAATACCCGCGCCCTCAACCACACACCTGCTGTAAACTCAACTATTTTTCTTCTTCAATATCTCTTTATTTCATCCTTGTTTCTCTGATAAAAGGAACTGTTATTCTGAGTGACATACATGGCTGTGAAACATTTACACCCTGTGATTGAATAAAATGGAATTTATGCATTTTTAGGATATATATATAATATGGGTGTGTGTCATTATAATCTTTAGGCCTTTTTCTTCTCTATTTATCTCTCTCTTTCTCTTTTTTATTAGTGCGAGGGAAATAGACGCCATGCAAATTTAAATCGGATGAGCCGAAAACTCCATTTACAAACAAACACACGCCAAGGTTGATACTTCCACTTTATGGCCGAACTAAAGGGAAGTTCCCCTAAAAATGTCGAGCCAATATCCACAGTTCTTGGGCCGTAAAGTATACATAGTGTAGGTGCGTATAGCGTAGCTGCATTAGGGAGATGATAGCGCCAAGACACTTAGATTTTCTTACAATTTTATCACGTTTCGTTTAGCCGTCATAGATATACTTAGTGGTGTGTCTGTGTGTGTATATATGGGGTCTAAACGAGAGGGTGTATGTATTTGTATACTACCTTATTAGTCTCGTTCAGGTAGGTACCTGTACATAGGATCGAAACAAAGGTGTGTGTGTACATTGCTTATGACTGCCTTGTATATATGAAACTTACCTGTAGACATAATTTATACCTGGCGATATATGGTGCGTCTGTATATACGTTGTGAGTGACGTAAATGTGATACAAACTGTAATTTATACAATGATGACGTCTGGTGGTTATAAATACATCATCGCTATTATGGATATGAAAAACATACACTTGGTTTTCTTCAGGACAGTGTCAGGTGTGTATTAATTAATATGCATTACCTTAAGTGTTGTAAATACCTAATACATGATGTAAAGAGAGCGAGGTATGGCGCGTTAAGTGTGCATGACCGTATAGCTGTCTTATACATACATACATACATACATACATACATACATACAACTTACACTTTACTTTTATAAATACCACTCGTAAAGCTTACATACAGCTCGTTGGTCGTGTATGTACATAATATACTCGAGTTTACATTAATAAATACTTAAGATGTTGCTCATATTTATGCTGAATATATATATATGTGTGTGTGTGTGTATGTGTGTGTCCAAGTGAGTTCTGACTCCATATATACACTATACAGTATTAGTAATGTGATAAGTGTTTCATAATATAACTATCAGCAAAGCTTTGACCCCCTGCATATAATTTACTAAGTTCAGAGAAAAAATAAGTTTCAGTACCTTATTTACTGCGATCATACAGGCTTTGTTTATATGTACGGAAAATGCACACGTATACATATCTGAAATTGTATATGAATAACATACAGTACACATGTATACACACTCACGAACGTTTACATGAGTTGACTGGTTATAATACTACGCACATGTAGTGAAAAGTGTCGAGAAGGTGAAACAGAGATTGTATTGGTAACATTTATGGTCATCTTAATTGTTCTCACCTTTTAATTCAATGTTCATTTTAATAATTAATTTTCGTGTATTTTTTTTTCTATTTTAAGTCTTTGTGAAGTTTTGTTGGTCCTTTAATACGTCTTAACTTTTCGTTGCTTGTCAGTCATGCAATATCCGCCATGCAGTTTGTGTGCCACCTGCTTCCAATATTCACACGCATGCATGATCCATCAACATATGCAGCTAGTCATGCACCACACTCAGTTGTCACGAACTATCTTCCTTCCCTCTGTTACATACCACTACTACCACTACTAACCACTACTACTACTACTACCACTACTAACCACTACTACTACTACTACCACTACTAACCACTACTACTACCACTACTAACAACCACTACTACCACTACTAACAACCACTACTACCACTACTACCACAATCATCATCATCATCAGCAACAACAACAGCAAACAGTCACACACACACACCTCTTCCCTCCGACCACTACACCTCCATCAACAACAACAAGCACAACACCTTTCTCTACCAACAAAATAACACCACCTATCTTCACCATCACCACCACTACCACCATCACCAGCAACAATAAGCAAATACACATCACCCACCACCACCAACACCCACCATCTGCCACCAACAACAACAACGACCACCACCACCACCACACTGACCAGGCCGCCGTGCCACAGTCGTAACCATAAAGTTAATTGAAGTAAGAGAGGTGGGAGTAAAGGGTGTCCACTGTATCCTCCTCCCTACTGTGGCCAGCTGTTACACCGACCACAACAAACGGAGGTGTGACGCGGTAAATAATTTATATGGAACATGGCGGGCCAGACGCTTGCATTATCAAACATATTATTGATCACCAACAAGTCATTTGTCCTAGAGACTTACTTACTCTGATGTTTCCAGCACGACCCAATAATACTGCTTCTTACTTGGCTGAATGACTGTCTTGGTGTGTGTGAGAAAGTACAGTATATATTCATTTTAAATATATCGCCCATACGTCCAATTAGTCTTAACTGATCAGCGTATATACCTGCTACACTACCCGGTATATAACTAACTACGGTATACAACTCTCAAGTCAAGCTCACAACTCGGTCTTAATATCTCAAGTCGTGTGTGTGTTGACGAGACCCTTAAAGGCGTAGGTTTCAGCTCCACGTGTACAGTCCAGATTCTCGGGTCCTTTATTTAGATCACGTGTTGAGAGAAAAGTTTGAAGTCA